AACTTGTTATCATTTTTTTTTTTTTTTGGTCGTATAAACTTGTTATCATTTAAGGCTTTACTTTTGAACTTCGAAGGAATTAATCATTTTATAATCTCTTCACAGTTACAAAAATCTATAGAAATATGTGTTTTTGTTACTATTCAAACCTACTTATTACGTTATGGCTATCTGATTATGTTGGATAATGTTAGTAGAACTACTTTTTCTTGAAACAATTAAACTAGTCGAATTTATTATAGTTTTTATCTTTTTTACTAAACCAAACAATTTTGGAGTTTCGTGTTAGATCAGTTGAAGATTTAGATGGAGTGTAGACAAGAAGAAATCATCTCTAAAAAACACACTATAAATTAGAGCTATTCAAATTGATTTAAATGATCAAACCCTAAGGGCTAGATCACTAGCTTCTTCATGAAGTTGGCAGATAAATTTTTCTTTTTGCGGCATGAATTGTATTTGACCATTTGCATTCTTGTTTTTAAGATCAGAAGCAAATGATAAGAACGATGAGGTGTATAAAAAACTGAAGATAAAATCTAAAATCGAGACTGTAATTTAATTAATAAACCATCCATCACTCTCAAACATATAATATGTTGATAAGTAATCTCTCCTCTTTTTTTTCTTTTTTTTTGTCTTATCTACTTCGTCACCTTTTATTCCACGAGATTTTGCCTAGAAACTTCGACTAAAACTCTCACAATTATCAAAAGTCAGATAACTAATTAACTAAGAAGTTTACGCATTGTTGATATAATAAAAAAAAACTAAATACGTCAGTAAATTGAATAATAGTTAAAAAAAGAAAGAGAGAAGACAATTTAGATGAAGGGATCGAAGAAACAGAGAGAGGAGAGGATCTTGTAATAATTTAATAAAAATCTGATTTGAAATGGATAGTCAGAGACTCTGCTTATTAACCAAGCAAAAAAAGAAAAAAAATGAAGAAGAAATCGTCTCGAGCTCCTCAATTCTTTAATTGTTTTTATTACTGATATGACATTTTAATAAAGATATAGCAATAAAAATTTACCACTCATGAATACGAAATTTCTCGAAGATAAGAACCGTGTTAGTTCCGACAAAAAAAAAAAGAACCGTGTTAGTTGACTTCAAATTTTTTTGATCAGTCAAAATCCAAACCAATTAGGGTCTAAAATGCAACACAACCGTTTTGTTTTTATTATTGGTATGGATTTGGATTTAAGAATGAGATTAAGGAAATAAGTGAGTGGAATGAATTGTAAATAAATGGATTTTAAGAAGGGGGTTTATGCGAAATATGGGGAAGTGTTAAGTGTGAAAAGACAAGAAGTAAGTATGCTTCCAGAGATGAGACAGAGAGTTGTGTCAGTTTCTTTCACTCACATCAGAATTTGACAGTTTGGGAAATCCAACGGAAGCAGAGCCGAGCTACAAGATCCTTCTTTCTTTACTCGATTAGCTCTATTTTTATGTTTCTTTTCTTATTCTTTTACCAATTTTGGCATCATTACTTTTGACGTCATAAACCCTATTTTGTGATATACTTTCGGGAAGAAAAAGTAAAAAGTATGCAATATTTTCTTCGATATATCTGTTAAAATGATTTTTAATCTATTTTCTGCAATTTTGGTGAAGGAGAAGTAGTAGTCCCTGAAGGTACATTTCTTGTTGTTTAATTTTGTACGAGGAAATAGTCCAATTAAACTGTACCACAATGAATAAACCACAAACCCAAAATTCACTCTTCTGGATTTTTGGGTACGAAAGCAGAACAAGATTCTGACACGAACCGGACCTTAATCTTCTTCTTTCATTGTCTCTCCAAAATGATGCTCATACACGCATGGTTTGGTTCTTCTATGGCTCCATTTATATCAGTTTTTTTTCTACTTCTTTTAATCATACGAAAGAATCTTATAGACTAATTTACACAAACTCTTTTGGGTCTCATGGATCTTTCAGACCATATGGCTACCTGATCTTGATATCCTTTGTGCTTCTTCCAAGTCCTTCAGAAATCTGACACAAAGCAAAATGACTACTCAGCTATAACATTCTTACGATACACTTG